ATAGCTATAAAATCCCTAAGAATCTTTACTTCTTAACAAGATAAGTGTGGGTAGTAGTAACAAAGTAATTTTTTCCCAAATATCCCATGTGTGAACCTGAGCAAGTTACTTACCTCTACAAATTTCCAATTGTTCACCAGTAAAATTAAGAGAATAATGTGCTTAACTCAGGAATTTTGAAGTTTAAATGAGAGAATATATGTGGGAACATACAATAACTTTCAAAAAATTGCTACTTAAAATATTGTAGAGGTGGAGGCATTTTTAAAAGTTAGAAACCAAATCATTATGGCAAAAGCAAAGGATTTTACCTAATTTCCTAATCTGGATTTCTAAGTGTTGTTCACACATTGACGATTTGGGGAAATTCACCTTATTCCTACGCCAATTAGTAAAGCACAAAGGTAACACTTTTGACACCAATGTGATATGAGTTCTCATAGCAATTATATATTTTTTAACTCTTGCTTGCTTAAATGGCATGATTCCAGTATGAGACTAAGTTTGGCATTCTAAGGTCAAAGAACAATGTAATACAGCAAAGATTAAATAGATGTCTTATTAGACTCAGTTAACTGGATAGAACACTGTTAAAAATACCATACATCTCTTTAACCCTGGCATATATCTTTGGAAGAAGTAAACTAAACTTAACATTTCAAAAAGTAGATCCAGTCATGATTCCATAAAAACTCATTTTTAAAGGGCAGGGCTACTCTGAGCTAAAAAGAAATTAGTCAAAGCCACTGGGGTTGTGATTATTTTGTACCACTATTACATAGCTCCGCTACCATATTCTTTCAATTAGAAAAGAATCTATCTGTTAAATAGAGACCTAGGTAGGAGTAGAAATAAAATCCTCCCTGAATCATCATCATTCCATATAAGTTTACAAGGTACAAATGTAACATAAAAGTTATATAAGTGATTAAGCCAATTTCAAATATAGGGGGAAATATATATAGGTTAATTATATACATATATGTATATATGTGTGTATATATATGTTAATAAGTTATTTGTCCTTTCTGTAAAAATTACAACAAAGCAGAATTTCATGGAACGCCAAAACCAAGTAATATACCCAGATTTGGGATGAGTTTATAACCTTCTAAAGCAGTTTGCCAAATTGAAACTAACTGCCGTCAAGTCAATTCTGACTACTGTGACCCTGTAGGATAGGGTAGACCTGTCCTTGTGGGTTTCCAAGGCTGTGGAGTAGAAAGTGCCATCTTTCTCGTGTGGAGCAGCTGGTGGTTTCAAAGTGCTGAGCCTGAGGTTAGTAGGCCAACTCATAACCACCAGAAATACCTAAAGCTGTCTCCAAGGAAAGTTTGGTACCCAACAATGACATTAGTTCAAGAAGCAACATCAATTATCTTCTGACTAATAGCTCTTTCCTAGATAGAAAAATGTACAGCAATGGAAAAATACTTACATTAGCCATAACCAAAGACCTTGAAGGAATGAGTGTCACTGGGCCTGAGAGCTGAGGATCATGGTCTTTGAGGGTTATCAAGGTCAACTGGCACAACACAGTCCACAAAAGAAAGGTTTTGTATCTAAGTGAGTAGTAACTGGGGTCTTAAAACTTACAAGTGGCTATCTAAGGTGAAACATTTGGTTTCTCCTCGCCTGGAGCAAGAATGAAGAAAATCAAAGATGCATGCAAACAAATCGTCCAAAGACTCGTGAGAACTTCAGATTCCAGGACCCTGAGACCAGAACTAGAAGGTCCTGGAAAGAATGGAAGAAAGATGTGGAAAAAACTCAAAAATCATTAAAAACAAACCCCAAGCTTACTGGTAAGATAGACTGGTGACGCCCCTTGAGACTATGGCCCTTGGTAATCCTTCAGGCCTGGTACTAAACTCACCCCCGTGATTCAATTTTCGGTCAAATACCTAAACCCACATCCATTGCACTGAATTGATTCTGCTACATAACAAACATACAGGACAGAGTAGAACTGTTCCCTAGAGCAGGCAGCTTTCTCTTTCTCAATAGCAATGAGAAGGTTTGAACCACCCACCTTGGGCATAGTGGGCAAATACTTAGTCCACTGGACCACTACAGTCCCTTAGCCAAGGGATAGATCCTAACACCAGGACTCCTAAGGACACTCAATCATTTGAGATCAAAAGGGTATTATTTACTCTCCAACAAGTTGAGACGGCAACAAAGAGTTAGGAAGGGAGGAGGAAAGGGGGTGAGGAATGTTATATTGTGAGGATTGCAAACAATGACATGTAACAAAATGTGTGTAAATAGGTGAATGGAAAATGGATTAACTATGTAAACCTCACTCAATTCACAATAAGTTTAAAAAAGAAATGGGGGAAAATATAAGTACGAAAACTAAAAAATAGTGTTACTTTTGTCAAAGAACATACTATAAAGTAGGTGGATGACAATTTATAATTTATTAGTAATTATGCCGATATGTACTGGTATTACAGGTGTGTTTTATTCTAAATTTTAAGTTAATCAATGATGAATAATCTTTTTTCATGAATATTATGAAAAAGAATTCTGTATTTGAATAATTTGAATTATGTGACTCACAAGGTCTTTTTCAACTTAAAGATTCTACAACTCCAAAAAAGTTTTTACAACTAATCTAAAATATCAAGACCTTATATATACACCTATGTTCATTAATGCACTATTCAAAATAGCAAAAAGACAGATTAAATTCTAAATGCTCATCAATGGAAAAATAGATAAATGAATGCAATGCTAATGAAAAACAATGAATCTGTGAAATTCTTCATAACATGAATGAACCTGAAAAACATTATGCTGAGTGAAAGAAGTCAACCACAAAAGGGCAAATATTATGTGAGATAGCTATTATAAGAAGTCGAGAAAATGTACACACACACACACACACACACACACACACACACCACAGCACGCGCGTGGCCAGAAATATGTAAAGCTGGTTTTCAAAGAAGGTTTGGTAGCCAAGAATGGCATTAATTCAACAGGTGACAGCAGTATCTTCTGGCCAGTAGCTCTTTCCTAGAGAGAAAACTGGGCAGTGCACCCAAATGACCTGTGGCAAATGGAGAGAAAAAAGGAGCAATTCTGATATAGACAAAAAAGATGAAAAAGAAGGTAGGGGGAAAGCCCTTTTTCTTATTTTTCTCCAAAGATTTGCTGACTAGAAACTAAAGACATAATCTATAGGACAAGGATTAACACAATGATGAAAGCAACCAAATATGTTTATTCATAGTGGGGACATAAACTTTAAAATCTGTCAAAGGCGGAATAACATGGGTTAAGAAAGTTTCTCCTTTTTAAAAAAAGTATCGGATGGTATTAATTTGAATAACACCAGAATTAAGTTCTTTGGTAGATAACACAATCTCAATTTTCAGCTAAGGAAAGGCAGTAGAGTATGAGAATCATGTAATTATAAACTTTTGGCCCAGATTAATAAAAATGTTAAATATTATCATGTATTCAAAATATTAATCAATTTGAAGTCAAATAAGTACATTTCATAAAATAATTATAATAAAATAACAGATTAGAATCTGTAATCCAAAATCAAGAAGAAAAAAAAAACTTCTTGTAATAACTGATGGTAGCTATTTGTTTGTTACAAAAGGAAAGTCTTAAAATGTTACACACTTTTTGTAAGAGGGATGTAGAAATGCTTAACACAAAATATCATAATAGTATATCATTACTAAAAACTGAATAGTGTGCTTATAATTTTTAAAAGAAAATGATTAAATTTATAAATGACTATTGAAGATATCCTAGATATCAATGATATTTTTCTTTATAGTATACTGGGCTTTTACTTTTATGTTTATATATAGATATTTATCTGGACACACACACACACACACACATACACACATCCTAGAATCTTGCTAGTTCTGTGGCACATAAAATAGCTAGACAGAAAAAAAAAAAAAAGCTAGACAGGTAACACACTTGTGATTTTACCTAGTTAGATTATCATATAATTTTGGTAAAAATAGTGGTTATATAGAAAAATCAAGGACACATAAGTCCTTTCAAAACTTGTCTAATTTATAGTTCATCTTTATTTCCTTTTTAAAATTAAATGAAGTAAAGACCAATAGAGAAATTAAAAACTATGAAGACCATAATTTTCCCACCAGTTAACACCAAAAAGGAAACAAACCTGTTCTCCCAAATTATCATATTTAAAACACAATTAAAAAGAAAAAAAAAAACTAGAGTAAAGAACAAAGAGTGCTGTTGGTATAGCCCTGACTGTCACTGTTCCTCTTACAGGACTGCTCTCCCACAGAGACGACCCGAAGTAAATCAACCCCTGAATGTGGTGGCTTCAGATTAGTATAGGGGTGGGCTGGGAACACTAAAGGGAAAAAAATTTAATATGAGCAATATACTAGGAAAAAATAGTTCTACTATGATGAAGAAACAAACTGTGCCCTATATAATTTCATAAAACTTGCCTTTTCCTACTTATTTTGATGCAGCAATCATTTGCGAGACAATTGTACTTGACCACCACCCATTTCCTATTGTGGCAAATATGACTCAATACCCAATGTCTCCAAGCATTTTTTTCAATAAACACTGAAGACTCTCTACTTAAACGATGTGTGAAAATCTGACATACTTAAACATCTCTATAACAGCTACAGTACCTGAAAATTAATGGTCAAATCTGAAAAACCTATACTATTCTTAACAAGGTTAAAAAACGGCAACAAAACCCACTCCATTATATCTCTCCCTTTAAAAATGGCATCAGAAAAAATACATATGCTCTCAAGAAAATACTACTTCACACATGTTCTGCCGGGAGACAGCAATATTTTCAATATTTTAAAAGGTACAGTTACTTCTAGGTGTTGCAACACACTCTCGGGATCTGCAATTGTGCTGCAGTCATGAATAAACATATTCCTCTGGAGTTCTAAGTATGCGTGGCCACGTCAAGGGCATGGGGCACGGACATGAGATCTGAAATGGATTTACATTACCTCCAACCTTAGGGCCACCTGCTGAACCAGGCTTCCTCGCACTGCTGACAGGATTTCCGGCTGCTTTAGGTGCAGGAACCTTGAAGGCTGAAGCAGCTGATGACGGCCTATTTCCATCCACTGATTCTTCATCATCAAAGCTTTTATCTGCAAAAACCATTAGAAAATTGTATTTCAGAGAACTAAGCTTTGCTCCGTTATTCACAGGACTCAAAATTCAAATGAAGCCATACAAAAAAGCATTAATTTGAAAAGATACATAATATAAAATAAAGCTCCTCTGAATGAGGATTGATATATTAGCTAGCAATATATAAAATAACCCTGTGTAATTTCAAATCAGAATGCAATATTGTTAATATAAAAACAACCATATTAACTCTAAGGATAGTAAAAAGCTATTTTCATTTTTTTGTTACTCAAGTAAGCATATTCCGCCAACTCCTCCCATAGTGCATCTCCTAGCACGCCCTGCCTTATTCCTTACACCCAGCTTCTGCAACTTACAATCACAGATCCGTTTGCAAATCAGTCGCCTCATCCCTCTGAAAGCTCCTTATTTCCCCTCACCCTAGGATGCTCCCAAGAGCTCACATGGCCAAATACAGTCGATTCAATACCAATCAAAGAATCTATCAAAAATAGGCAGAAACAACCACAGAACCACCACTGAGGTTTGTGCCGGCATTTTTCTTTCTCTTCCCTTCCCTAGGTGCTGCAGTAGCCAATCAGCTACAAGGTGACATCATCTTATGGCAGCTACTGCCAGCTGAAAGGTAAAAATTCTCCATGCATCTAAAAATTCTCCATGCAGCTATACAAGCCTTATTTTATACCAATATTTCAAAGGCATTAAATACTAAATGTTGGTAAACCTTTGTTTTCTCTTATTTACATCCTGTGTAAATTGACACAGAGAAAAAACGGATTTTATGCAATATTCTGCTGGGGTGGTTATTATTGCATCAGTAAAGCATGGACTATCACAGTGCTCGTTACTGTGTATAATTAGCTCTGAACTCTCACAATTTGCTGCTTATTTGGAGCATGGAAATTAATGATTGTACAATGTTCAGCAAGCTCCTTTTATATATTTATGAATGACCACATTATTATCATCTCCTTGACTACAAATGAAACATACACACCTCACAAGAGGTAGGCATTTTACTCTTGCCTCATGAGAAGCTGGTTTTCTCTAGGACCCTGCACAAACCAGCCACGACCAACAAGATGGGAGAGGCAAGGAAGCAGTTTTGCCACAGGCTTTAGATCAATAGGCTGGGATCTCTTCTGTTTCGGCTCCCCTCACCTCCGCAAAAACCAAAATCATCTGGAATGAAACTGTCCCTCCAGAGGGATGCTTTGAATCAATTATCAAGTCCATTTTAAAGAAAACATGCAAAACAAATTTTCACATGTTTGTTGTGGGCGGGGGGCATAAAATAGACAACCTAACATAAAGCCACACTCCATTTCGGCATGTCTTTCTTAAAAGAGTGCAATTCATAGGGAATATAAGGATCTCTTGATTAGAAACCATTTGGGGTGGGGGTGAGCCCATGACCCCGCTATGGTGCCAGCTTGGAGAACACAATGAATTTAAAACCAATGCTTAAACGCACTGCTCTGTTACAAACATGCATAAAATTCCCAAATAACCCTTTTGGCTAGCAACATATAAAAATAAAAATGCAGAAACACACAAATCTAGAGAAAGACACTGGAACACAGAGTAGCCAGAAGTTCCCATGGAAACAGTATTCCGTTTGCAAATCAGTTGCCTGTTCCAACACTTATGAACTGAAAGAGTAAACTTCTCTACCTTGAAAAAAAGATTAACTCTTGACATTCTCAAATGCTGGGGAATGAATTTTTAACAACATCAAAATAAGAGCAGAAAAAATATACCAGTCACAACGGCTCAATGACATTTCACAAAATGAACATGTTAGTGTGACCATAACCCTGAGCAATAAAAAATTACCAACATTGTATAAGTACTCATACGTATACTCACTGTATAAGTACCCACTCATAATCTCCTTAGAGTGAACTAGTCTTGAAATAGTTGGTATTACTGATTTAGCTTCTTTTTACGCATGTTTGAAAGATTCATTCATTTTTACTGCTGTTTAGTTTTCAACTGCATGAATGTACAATGATTTATTAATGTCCACTCAACTGTTGATGGACATTTGAGTTGTTTCCAATTTCCAGCTATTATATAATAGCGCTTCTAAGAGATAAGCACACAAAGAGACAGGACTTAAGGTTTTAAGCATTACTAGGAAAGTAGTATGGTCTTTTAAGTGCACTTAGTTCCCGGGACCAACAGCTGCTGATCACCGAGTTCCAAGCTACTGAATCAGAAATTCTGATCAGGCTCACCCTCTGTGTTTTAACGTCAGGCGATTCTACGGCAGGCTCAAGTTTGAGAACTGCTGCCCTCGGGTGGGGTTAGCAAGCTTTTTTGGTAAACGGCCAAATAGCTTTGCAGGTCACACCCGCAATGTCTCTCTGCAACTACTCAATTACGCACGAAGGCAGTGATATAAAATAGGTAAACAGATAAGCATGGCTTTGTTTCAGTGAAATTTTATTTACAAAAACAAGAAGGCAGCTGGATGTGGCCTTCAGGTAATAGTTTGTCAACTCTTGCTCTAGGTTAGTGCTTCTCACAGTGTACTGAAACCAGGGGGGCTACAAATGCAGATACGGACACTATGGCACAAAAGCTTTTAATTGCTAGGGAGGCACTGAGGAATTGTTTTTCTGAAAAGGGGGCAGTAGACCAAATAAATTTAAGAGCCTATGTTTTAGGACAAGGGTAGGGGAATTTCCAGCCAAAGGGTCATATACAGCCTGAGAAATCATCACTACCAGCTAACATTACACATCTTACCAAAGAGAAGCAGTTCCAGCCATCGCATTAAAAAAATAAAACCAAATTCACTGCCATCAAGCCAATGCTGACTCACAGCAACCCACTATGGGTTTCGGAGACAGTTACTGTCTACAGGAGTGAAAAGCCCAGTCTTTATCCAGAGGAGTTGCTGGTGGTTTTGAACTGCCTATCATGTGGATCGCAACCCAGTGTGTAACCATTACATCAGCAAGGCTCCTAAAAACCACCACATTAGGCACCAGTAAATGAAACGTTTTAAGGCCTGGGAATGTTCTAAATATCCAAATGGTCCCTGGCAGGAAAAAAAAATCTCCAATCCTGCTGTAGTGTAACCACTAAATGAAACGTAAAACTATACGTAAATAAACTAATAGAAATCATTTGATTAACTGAAAAGAGCAAAGGCAAAAAGAAACAAAGCGAATAGAAAGTAAATAATAGTAAAATACAAAACCAAATAACAGCAATTATTCCAAATATAAATGAACTAAATATTCTAAGCAAAAGATCAAGACTAAAATATAGTATATAGCTTATTTAAATAAGGTATAATTTATAAGCTCACCAAAAGTTTAAAAAGTCACTGGTGGTACACAAGCAGCAAGCTTGACTGCTAACCAAAAGGGGGATGGTTTAAATCTACCCAGAAATACCTCAAAGAAAAGCCTGGAGATTTACATTAGTCACTGAAAATCCAATGGAACACAGTTCTACGCGGACACACACGGAAAGACATGCTGGCAACTGGGAAAGATGAAAAGCAAAGTGGTAAGATACAGGTAAACCATGGCCAACACTGAAAAATAAAAGCTGGTGTAGCTATAAATACACACACACACACACGACTAGCTGGGTAATACTTTTAGACTCACTGTGACCCTATGTGACAGAGAAGAACTGTCCCCTTTGGAGTTTCCAAGTCCCTAATCTTTGTGGAAGCGGAATGCTTTACTTTTCTCTTACAGAGCAGCTGATTGGTTTGACTTGCTGAACTTGTGGCTAGGTATCTAGCACATTAGCCATACCGCCACTGGGATTCCTTTCTAATTTCATAGTATGAAGAAGCAGTATTAAGATATAATTCTTGGCTCCTCTATCCCCCATATTTCTTAGTTATGTTGAGACTTGGGTGGATTCCAGGTCAGTGTAGTTGACATGACTGTTTCTGCGGTAAGTGTGTACTTCTGTTGCATGTGTCACAAGGAGCACATGTGCTTGTCCCACTGTCAGTGCCTGCGAACGGATGCGGTGAGTTGGCCTGAGCCGTCCTGTCACCCAGTTGCCCAGCATCCCTTCACCTACTGGTTTTAGCAGCCACTGAAAATCACCATTTCACCATCTTGAAGAAATGAGGAGTCCTTCATTAGGAACTGCAAAATGGGGACTCTCTAATTTTATTATTCTTCGTGTGTTTCTTTTTTATTATTATTAAAGAATTATTCTTTAAGAAAAAAAGATATAATTCTTAAAGCTAATTCATCATCATAGATGCTAAAATTAAAATTTTGTTTTACAATTTATAGGTTGCTAACAGTATTCTTGGTTCGGACTTACAGAATACCCTACAGACAATGAATGAAACAGTGCCTTGTCCTGCTCCATGCTCCCAATTATTGCTATGTGTGAGCCTATTGCTGCAGCCATCTGGTTGAAAGTCTTCCTCTTTAGCTAGCAGGATGACTATTTCCAGAGACTGGACTTGGACACTCCTGATAACATGTCAAAAGTATATGAGATGAAGTCCTTGCTTTTAAGAATATTCTGGCTGTATTTTCTCCCCCCACACAGATGGGTTCGTTCTAGTTGTGCAGGGCATATTTCAATATTTTGCCAACATCAAAAGACTCAGGAACCATTTCTTCTTTGGTCTTGCTTTGTCATTGTCTGCCTTTCGTGTGCATGTGAGGCAACTGAAAACACAACTGCTCGAGTCCAGTTGTAATCTTTGAAATTACAGGTTAATATTAGACTGCCAACCATAAGGTCAGCAGTTCAAATCTACCAGCCACTTCTAGGGAAAAAGAGGAGGCTATCTGCTTTTGTAAACATGTATAGTTTCAGGAACCCTAGAGGGTCATTATGAGTCTGAATGCGCTCATAATGCATGGATAGCAGTGGATGCATCTAGTGCACCTTAATTTTCAACACAAAGTGACATCTTTGCTTTTTAACATTAAAAAAAATAATCAAGTGGTCTTTTACAGATTTCCCCAATGCAATACGTCATTTTGATTTCTTT